GCTATGACTTCTTCTGCCTCAAAACTATGGATTAATGAGCTATGGGAATATGCAAAGTTCTCCATAATTGGAAAAGTGCATAATTTTCAGGATTCTTAGCAGAGCTGATAAACTTTTGAACTAGATATGTACGTTTAATATTAACCAAAAGAATCCGAGCAAACTTTCTTTACGCAGCTTGTTTTCAAATGAGTCAAAAGCAGTGAAAACTTCCGCGTTTAAGTATTTTTAAATTTTTTCTTTCGAACACATTATTGCCCAGAGAAGTTTTAAATCACCTCGAATAGGCTTTTCAGCTTCACCACTGAATCACACTCTTTTCCCGGTACTGATCAGTGAGCAATTGAGCTTTCTAGAATAAATAATGAAGAGCCTGAGTTGAGAATGATCACCAAAATCCTAAAAATAGTGAGGAAGCCATAGAGCGAGAGAATTTGAGCCTGAAGCACCAAAAGTTATCTACATAGCAAAGCTTACAGTTTATAGAAAACCAGTGGGAAAATGTAACATTCGGGAAAAAGTCTGATTTAATAAAGTGCGTAAGCTTCGAATTGTTTCGAATGAGTACAGTACAAAAGCCGAGCTTCCGCAGTAAGGCAGAAGGATCGATGGGATATTTGCCTTAAACTCAGAATTGATCAATACAAGGAAAGTTTGCTTGAAGAAGGCGACGCTACGCCATACATGCTCATGTCAATCTCACGAAAAATTAGGCCATTTAAAAAAAATGCGTTGTTTTGATACTACACGTAGTCCTAAAGTTGTGCTTCAAAATGCTTTGTTTTGACAGTTTGTGTTCTATGCTGGTGACTTGACCGAAGCAAAGTTGGAACGGAGGATAAGATTCATTCGAATTTGAGCTCCTAACAAAATAAATGCAAATTTTAAAAATCGGCTGCGAGATCCTATTAGAGAGAACCGGAGAAATGCAAAAACTGAGGATGTTTGGTGCTTTTTTTACAGATGCCTGCAGAGTGGAGGTACTCATTATTTTCAATCACCCTAGTATTTCGCAGGACATCGTCGTGTCCAGGTGCCTACGTGTTGGATCCTTAACTAGCGCGGTTTCAAAAATTACTCGAAGCTCGCAGAACTGAGGGCTTCTTACGAGCCATTCTTCGGCTCCAGGTAAGGAAGCCCATCGTCTTCCTTTGAGTTGTAGAGCATAAGAAGGCACCAACAAACATTGTTTTTATATCTCTCTCGGATATACAGGAAGAGTTGGTGTAAATGGAAA